GGTCCTGCAGGTTGCGCAGGGGCTTGTCATGCCTCAGGCTCTGTGCCTTATGGATGACCTTGTCGATGCCCGGGATGTCCTCCCAGTGCTGCACCTCTTGCATGCTCATCACGCCAGAAGTCTTGCCGAAGGTCAAGGATGATGGGAACATGCTCTTTGCCAAGCCCACCACCGCCAAGGTTGCCACACCTGCTCCGGCGACATACCACCAGGACTTCCTGGCGGGACGACTGGGCGCCTCCACCAGCGGGACTTCCTCGATCATGCTCTCCGCACCTTCGAAGTGAAGATGTCCCTGGCGAGCCATGGCAGGGCAGTGGGACACAGGTGAGAAGCCGACTCGATTTGGAACTTGCAAAACTAGCTGAGGGCAACGGGCAACAATTCCAGCACGCTGGATTCAAACACCTCCGATGCAAAGCACTCCGAGGTTTCAAGCTGGATTGCACGCCAAGCGACCGCATGAATACTGACCTCGGCGTTGCTGAGATTCCTGAGTTAGGCTTGAACCAGGTGAAAAACATGTACGCAGTGTTTGGGGGGCCCCAGGGATATGCAGGGGCCACAAAATGATTTTGGGGGCTCCATTGCTCCATCTAGATACATGCAAGACCTCAATCCAGAACCTATGAACCCTTTTCTCATGCTTGAACACTTCTAAGTTTCTCAGTCATCCGTCTCAAACCCCTCAAACCCACTGCAAAAACTCTTCTCCAACCCCTGAAACCGCTAAGCTGCGCCATGGATGAACATCCCCAGAACTCCGGGCGAGCTCCGGAAGCCTAATCCATGAAACATAAACCCTGACACTAATTACATCCAAGACATACTCATAACAATAACAAGAAAAAAGTAGAACAACAACAATCCCAATCCAGATAAGAAGAATAATCACAATAGCGATAACAATAATAAATCTCTTCCAGCATTCCAGGACAGGCCTCCGGGGTTTAGCTTCAGGCTTAAGGAACCAAACTCGCACCATAAACCCCCAAACGCAGCTAAGGCTCGCCAAGTCCTTTAAAAGCAGCGGGCACATATTCTCGAGCGACATGAGGCATGTGGCACCTGGTTGGAGATTGGGGCATTTGGCTTTTGCGGCAGTCTGATCTGCGGAGATATAGGTCGACGTACGGCATCCTAGGCATCTACACAGGGTTCCTTATCAAGGAACTGCATTGAAGACAACCATTCATATTCCCTATAGTGCAGTGACCCAAAGCACCTGTGATGATCACGCAGTGGAGCTGCAAGCCTGCAAGAGCATGCTCATTGTTAGGGAAGGTTTTCAAACATAGGGTATGGGGGTTTCGGGAACTATGCACAGGGGTTTTGAGGGATTGCAAGGGTTTCGTTGGAACTGCAGAGGGATGATTGTGAGAGACTCCAAGTCACGCCAGTGCAGCAGGACCGAGGGTTCAGAGTTGCGGCCTGGGCCCTAACTGACGCGCCACAAGTCAGACAGCACGCACACATGTGAAAGTTGGGTGCAGTTGCGGCGCATACAATGAAGAAGCACGAGACCCAGCAGGTCATCTGGTCACATCACAGCTTAGGAACTGCATGCCCTGGCAAAGCTATCGCGACGGAATGCAGGCAAATGTCCCTGTGGTATGTGTGAAGGATCCAGACATGATCTCCACAAAAAATATGTGTTGTAATCGATCGTGGTGAGTAATACTCATCCGGTTCTTACAACGACTACCAAAACTTCTATACTTGGAGGGTCATGGGGACTTTAATAAGTAGGTTAATAATAACCCCTATAACCCACATAGTAACCCTAGTTACCCCCATGAAGAACCTACTTACTAAGTCCACCTGACCCTCCATGTAGTCTGAATCCGCCCATCCCAGTTCACTATGAGTAGTGTGGTCCCTCTCATGCCTTAATTGGCAGCTGGCCCTAAAAACCTTGAACCCCAAACCCTAAAGCTCTGAAAACCCTAAACTCTAAACCCCTAAACGCCTGTAACCCCTATGACCCCAAACCCCTATAACCCCTCAAATGCCTGAAGCTCTGCAACCTTTTTCAACTCAGGGATACGCTTTTCAGCTGCCCTGCCTTGGCCTTGAAACCTCAAAGCTGTACGCCTACTTCGGAGAATCAGGGGGACTTCGTAAGTACGTATACGGTTGAAGATTTAGGTTTTAGGGTTTAAGGTTTAGGGTTTAGGGTCTAAGGTTTAGGGTTTAGGGTTTCAGGTTTAGGGTTTAGGGTTTAGGGTCACAGGGACTTAGTAAGTAGGTTCTTCATGGGGATAACTAGGGTTACTATATGGGTTATAGGGTCATTAACCTACTTACTAAGTCTCCATGACCCTCCAAGTAAGGTCATTCCCCCTCACAGTAACTGCTACCACAATAGGTAAAAGGAGTTATAATAGCCTCATAAAGACCTCTATAAGGGCAGATTCTGTAAGGCAGAATGAATGACCCAATATACATCTGTCTTGGAAGGCCTCCACCTTAAGTGAATCCGAAGCCGGACACTCCAAATTCCAAACCCTCCTGCGATGCATCTAATCACCTGGCACTGTCCATCAACCCCCATCCCTCATTGTAATTCGTATTCACTGCAGTACAATGGTACCACACTGGGTGGATTCAATTTTAGGGGTGTGTGGAGGTTTGGTATAGACTAAAACCCTAAACCCTGAATTAACAGTTTCCGTGTTCCTTTCCATTCCCCCGCATACCCTTTCTAACCACTTTTGGGGGTTCTGATCAGGGGAAGGGGGGTTACCCTCATTCCCTAAACCCTCAACCCTAACCCTACACCCTAGACCCTCAACCCTCAACCCTAAACCCTACACCCTAGAGCCTCAACCCTCCACCCTAAACCCTACACCCTGAAATCTGAACCCTAAACCCTACCACGCAAACCCTGAGCAGCGAAGCGGGGCCTCGATTTGAAACTACCTGACACAGAGTCGGAGCCTCCAGAGGCAAGTGGGGGTTGGTGAGATAGCCTTTAAGGTGGATATAGGGGTTATATAGGGTTATAGTCCCTTTTAAAGAGCTATAGGGGTTGTATAGGGATATAAAGGGATTTCTGAGTCGGAGAATCCAGACGCAAGCGGGCATATGTTGGAATGTGCAAGGATTTTTTGGTTTAGGGTTGAGGGTTCAGGACTTGCGCCACGTGGGCATGTGCCCAAAAAGCTATTAACAGGATTTAGGCGCTCAGTTGAGGGCTTTACAAGGTTTTGTCTGGGCCAGCTGCACGATTTCTTACAATTTTAGCCTCTGCTAGGAGAAGTTCATACAAAGGGAATCAAGGCTTCAGATTTTGGGTTCGAGGGTAGTGCATACACAGCTATGTACCCATCCAAAGGACCATCAATACATGTATCTATGCGTGTATATGTATGTGTGTATATGTGAAAATGTGAACATGTGTATATTTGTATATGTGTGTATATGTATGTGTATATACGTCTTATGCTTATTTCTATAGGTAGATGTGCATATGTGTATGTGTAAGTGTACGTGTATGCATACATGTATGTAGGTGGGTATACACATGTGTAGATATGTATGGTACGCACGTCTATATATGTATATATATGCATATGTAATTTACATCTCTCTCTCTCTCTATCCCTAAGGGCCCAGAAGGCCCTCGGGTGCCAGCCAGTTGAGAAATGATGGAGAGGCAGAGATGAGGGTTTCCGAAACCAAGGTTGGGTACAGGGTTTAGGGTTTGGGCTTAAGGCCGCGGTAGGGGTGAGACCCTACACCCTAAATCCTACACCGGTCTCGATAAGGAGCTCCGTCTTTCAAACTGCCCCTCCCTGCCACAGGAGAGATGCTCAAAAATTATGGATGTCTTGTTGAAAAAGATGGTGTTCTTATGAGGGCATCTGCAGGTTTCCCAGAAAGGGGGGGGGGACATTTTGGTGGACCCATAAAAGGACTCTAGCATTCTGGGTGTCTGTAGTGGGGTCCCGTTGTTTTGGGAAACTACCATATATACATACACATATATCTGTACATATATACATATATATATATATATGGTAGCTTCCATTATCTCTTCCATTATCCCTATATAACCCCAATATACTATAATAGTATTTTATACCCTTTTATACCTAGACTGTCAGGCTTAGGAGTCCAATGCTCAGACAGTCAGGCTTACCTCAACAAACGCGGGAAGAGCATGGAAGGCGAAGAGAGGCCCCAACTGGAACTGTACAAACCCTCAACTGGGTTGCTGTCGAGGAACTTGAATTAAGTTACCGTCATATGGGTAAAGATGGGAACATGGGGTTTAGGGCTTAAGTTAACAGTTAACATAAGGTGGGCATATAGAAAACAACAAGGTTTCCTTGATGTAAGTTCCTTAACAGCACCCCGGCAAAGCCCAAGCCTAATTAAGTAGGATCCTCAGTAACCTAGGAACAAAAAGAGGCTGCTGTTTTTGGTATCACCTAGTTTCATCAGGAATTTAGGACCCCAAAAGGGGTAAAAGGGGCCAACTGCAGAACCCAGCCATACTAAACCCTAAACCCTAAACCATAAATCTCTGTTATGAGTCTATGCGCTTCTGGGAAGAAAAAATAGGAGAATCCCTCAGGCTCGCGAAAGCTGCTTCGGGTAGATTCCTTGAGGATGCGAAGCTGGAAAGACCACCTACATATCTAGTCCCCCTCAAGTAGATAGAATATTAGAGTTATATTGGGGTTATATAGGGATAATGGAAAAGAAAATGGAAACTAACAGGTAGCGTTTAGGGTTTAGAGTTATAGTCCCCCTCAAGTAGATAGAATATGGCTTTGGGTATGTTATAAAAAGATCCCCATATACCCCATATTCTATCTACTTAAGCGTGATTATATACAGAAGCCCAAGCAGAGGAATTCTATTGCAAATACGTGAAGAATGCACGGAAATGTTTGTTTTTCATTTTCTGCTCCATCTGTGATTTTCCATTATTGGGGTTACCACCATCCCCTTATGACCCTGAACCCCAAACCCAATATAAAACCAAGAGTTATGGTAGTTTCCCAAAATAAGGGGACCCCAATATAGACCCCAATATGCTATAATCCCTATCATGGGGCCCCCCAAAATGGTGCCCCCCATTTTGGGAAACCCTAAACCCTAAATCCTACATAACCCTATATCACCCCTATATCCCCAAAAAAAAGGATATCCCTAAACCCTTAACCCTTAAACCCCTATATCCCTAATTCTCGGAATCCCCCATATATGATGATCACTGGCTGGGGCCTCTGTGGTATCCACTTGTTTTCCGGTCCTTTGCCCGGTTTTTGAAACCTCGGCCGTAGGGTTGTTCAA